CATGGTACCATGTGTAATCTTGCGATAGCGAGTTGGTCAGCAAACCCCGAGACGTACCCAGCCGTCGCAATCGTCATGCGAAGTAGCCGCCTCCGCGAATCGTCGCGACATGGCGTCTCTAAAAAAACGGCTTGTGCCGGATGGCTGCGGGGAGCAATTCCGAGCAGTTGCGCTGCTCGCGAAGGGGCGGTAACCGCGTTGACTCGTGCTGCTTCCTGAAGACCGTCGTTAGTTCTTCCGCCTCACCGCTGTAAGTGAGGACTGACCCTCGGCGCAGCTGGTCACAAACTCACTGGCGTTCTGCAGCCATTTCGCTCGTGCACGTTGCCGTGCAGTCATCTGAGTACTTGACTACCTTGCACCGGCCCCACCATCATCTGCCCTTTCGTCGCATGCAGGGCCAACTGGCATCTGATGGGGGGCCCCACGCGCTTCCCAATGGCGCCTGCTTCCATCTCACACTTAGGGGACGTTGGCAGGTTGCCCCGCAGATGCAGACGCAGCAGGTGGCCCCGCAGACGCCGGCGCAGGGGCAGGCTCTGCGGGCGACGCCGCATTTTCAGGCAGGTCCTTCTCCTTCTCGCGGATGTCCTTGCACTGGCACCTGCTCACCTTTGGAGCCTCTGGCGGGAGAACCTTGGACGTGGTCTGGAGCGCCATCCTTTCTGCATTCTGCTGCGAGGCATGGCACATAGTTGAACCGCCCAGGGAACGTGGCCAGCCAGCCCCACGGCGGTTCGGCCTGGAGTAGCGCCGCGCTGCGCGACAAGTTCCTTCGGCTCGGGCGCGCTACTGCCCGGGAATGCAACCGCCGCCGATGCAACAGCTGGTTCCCTGGAGTGATTGCTGCGAGCAGGTTGTCCCGCGGGCGTCTCTTCAGACCGCTACGCTCTGCTTCGCTGGCGGCGCCCAGGGCTCGCGCCCTCTCCCGAGCTGGCCCGCTTCTTCGACCTTGTCGACCTTGGCAAACTAGAGGATGGAGACAAACTTATGAAGCCTTCCTCCTTCGGCGAGGGTTCTGGGGGCATCTCTACCCGATCAGCAGGTTCCCCCGCATCCGCGGGCTCAGCAAGTTTCCCCGCGCTCTCTGACGAAGAGTCATCCGTCTGAGCTCGCCCGCGCCGATGGATCCTCATATCCTCGATTTCGACATTTCTCTTGCAATCCAGGTTGCGCCTTCCATCTCGCAGCTCGCGGTCCACGATGGCAGGGATTCAGCTTCTGCGTCGGTTTTGGCACCACGCTGCGTCGCCTTTCTACAAGACAGCGCACCCCATGACTTGCGCATCAACATCCATATCGGCGTCAATGCCGTCGCCAGCGTAGGACTCGCATTCATATTCAGACGCAGGCACGGTGGGGTCAACAACTGGCGCGAGGCCTGAAGCCTCGTCTTCTTTTCCAGCCTCGGCCAGCGGGCTGCCCCGCTTGCCCTGGCCACGGTCAGCACCTTCGCGAGAAGAAGCAGGTCGCCCCGCAGAGCGGGCCGCTCCTGCATCAACTCGGGCCCGACGCTCCTCGCGCACGCGGCATGCCCGATTGCGGCGCTTGAGCCGGTGGTCCTTGTCTACCTCCTGCCACTCCTTCTCGACGAGTGCTGCCTGAAAGTCATCCAGCGGCTTGTAGTCCGCCTCGGTCAAGTGCATGCGCCCGGGGCGGCAGCCTGGGTCTACCTTGTAGCCCTGGCCATCCCCGTGCGACCAGACCCGCGGGGTCATCTCGAAATTGAAGCTCCTCGAGTGGCGCCTCATAAGGCACTTCGGCCTGCGGTCCGCGAAGTGCTCGCACCCACAGACCACCTCTCGGCGCGTCTTCTGGCCCGAACAGACGCCTCCTCTGCAAGCCTTCTCCTCTTGTTTGTCGGGCCGCCGGGCGCTGCCATTTCTGTTGGAACGGATAACTTTTCCAGCGTCGGGGCCCCAACGCACACGCTGCATCGACCAATAGTGACGGACCTGGCGGTCGGTCCAGCCTCGCGCCCGCCAGTGCCCCACGCAGTCCTGCGGCGCGCTCTGGCGGGCGACGCCGTCGTCGCGGTGACCGACCTCCTTGGAGCGAGGCTCGCCAGCGGGCTCGTCGGGGCCCCCCTCGCCCTGACACACGCTACCCCGCGATCGCGCACTTGCTGGCGAGCCGCGCGGAGCTCGTCTGCGCGAGCGTCGCGCGCCGCTTGGGCGGGCGCGCGAATGCCTGCGGAAGTGGCTCCGCCGATGGCGGCGCGGCGGGTTGCTTTCAGCGCCCCACTCCTCGTCGTCCGTCAGTTCAATCCACGCGCCCCCAAGCCTTGCGGCTCGATGGGCGATCGCGCAGTACAAAGGTTGAGCGGGGGCCTTCATTGTGTCCAAATTCCAATTGAGTCCGCTGGGAGATCACCAGTGTCAAGCGGGCTACCCCGCAAAAGGGCCATCATCGCTGGTTGCCCCGCAGATAGGATTCCCACTCACCTGCGGTCGGAGAGACTGTCGCGAGTCCTCTTCTGTAGACGGTATGTTTCGTGATCAGAATCGCCCGGCTCGCATCCATCAGAAGTCGCAGGCGCCCACGCCATCTCGTAATCCGAGTCGGCGGACGACTGGAACTCGCCCTCCTCGATGATCTCCACGCAAGCAGGTTGCCCCGCGATCGGGGTGCCAGGCCAATGCGCGAGATCGATCTCGCCATGGCCAAAGAACACTTCCTCGTTGAGTTCCTCGGCGCACCTCGAGGGATAGGCTGGCGCCCATGTATCTCGCAGACATGAAATGGACAGCAGCAACGAGGGCGTCTTCAGACTCGGCTAAAAGCGTCTCGAAATCGACATACTGAATGTCCGAATAGGTCCTGGACAAATGCATCGATGGACCCCCCACCCCCCCCCCTACCTCTTTCGTCGCCTTGGGGGTGCTCAAAACGAAGATGCTGGGCGCCATGGCCGATATCGCATTCCATGGTTTTCCCGTCGGCATCCTTCGGGTTACCCCGACGCCCCTTACCTTTTCAGAGGCGCGTCCACGGCCTCTACCCTTCCCCGGGAAGCTTTCCTCATACTGCGGTTCCGCAAGGGAAGCCTGGAAAGTCAGCATTCCTCTACCTTTCAGCCGTCGCCTTACCTTTTGCATATACCCTCACCCTTTGACCTAAGCACGCGTCGGCCGCACGTCATACTCATCGAGCCACTTTCTTCATAAAACGTCTCCATCTGTGTTTATGTTCCTGATAGCCCAAGACTATATATTGTGCTTGTTGTACTTCGGCGAGGTGCACAGGCATATCAGACAAGTCTAAGTTTCCAGTGCCTTCATGTGACGAAGCGTCAGCATCTGCGCATGAGTCGAAGTCAGACTCCGCGGGTCGCCCCCCCGAGCCCACTAAGGTAGTGGCTTGGGCGGGGGCCCCCGCTGCCGACGGCCCCCGATCTTGTGCCCCGGAATCTTGCGACCCCGATGGATGGCCACCTTGTTGGCTTAATAAAGTGGTGGCCTCGTTTGGTTCTGGATCGTCGTTCCAGATTGCGCGGGCAAGTTGCCCCGCGCGCGTGTCACTATGGAATGCATCAGCGCGGTGGCCGCGATTGAACACATCACCAACGTTACCAGGGGTTCGCTCAGCAATGCGGGCGTAAGCCCTCATGCGCTCCAGTAGAGGAGTCCAATTCTTGCTGAGCCCCCGGCATTTGGTGATTCGATGGTTGCAGTAGCTGCGTGCACGCGAAGCACCGACACCTAGGGCCCTGAACCGAATGATTGTCAGGATTTCTAAATTTGCGATGTTGAACCCTGCACTGTCGGCTTCGAAGCGTGCCATCTCGAAACGTGCCAGCGCCTGGTCAACCCGTTCTCCCGCATGGACACGAAAATCGATGAGAGCCGTCCCCGAGATCAGCTGCCTTTCATTTTCAAGATTCTCGAACTTAGCGCTGAGGAAAAATTCTCAAGAAGTTGCCCATCGGTGTGGCGCCCACCAATGTTCACTCCAAAATTAATCACTGCTGGGGGGATGATCATAGCGATGGTCCAAGCGAGACCTCCAAGGCCACGCTGTAAGGCAGCGGCCTGCTAGGAGGGAGTCATTGCGCTTATGGTCGCGTTGATCCAGGCACGCACCTCGCGAACGAATTCGCGACAGGGTACGTTACCAGCAGGATCCCAATGGGGGCTGGTAGTGCGCGCGTCGTCTGCACCAGGTTGCATGCGTCCAACAGCACAGCCGATGGCTACCCAGAGGATGCCAAAGATAGCGATGTCAATCCAGTGGCCTCGTAGATCGGAGACCTCTGCGTGAGCAGAGGCTTCAATGCAAGTGTCCTTGCGATGGCCATGGTCTCCTCCGCGTAGAGCCACTGCCCCCTGATTGTCCATTTTAGTCCACCAGGTAGCGCCGTGGATAGCAAGGAGTAGAGCTAGAGCTGGCCACCAACGGCCAGCTCCGCTACCAAATTTCAAATGAGGTGGTAGGCCCAACCAAATACTACGCCTTAGGCGTAGCACCCGACTAACCCTGTTGCATCGCAGTAACGATAGAGCTAGTGATAGAAGATGGCCGCGTGAGCGGCAGAATGACATCTCAACGGATTGGTTTCCGCATCGATGTCTGGTAGTGCGCCGCACGCTGGCACAGTCCGATGGGCGCCTGGTCGCTTGAGCCCAAGCGGCCGAGGACAAGCGCTCGATAACTCTCGCCTTTGCCCTTTCTCCTTCAGGGTCGGGAGACGTATGGACATGAGAAGAGGCGCCATGAAACATGGCCCCCCGCCATGGTACCCCTCCCTCCCATACTCTGGCTGGAGTATGTATGGGGGTGAGTAACCTCCCGACTGAGCTTGCCCAATCCCTCCACCTTCGTCCACCTCCCCCTCCTCATTCTCCTCCTCCTCTTCCTCCACCCCCCCCCCCCCCCCGTTCCACCCGTGCCGACAGCACGTGCCCCCCCCCCCCCCCCCCGCGGATTCAAGTGGCGGCGAGTATTGCCCCATCCAGAGTAGTCATAACCCCCTTCTTGGCCGCGCCCGAACTCCTTTCGCATCAGCTGGGCGCGCATCTGTGAGTCCTCCGACGCCTGCGAGATTGATGACTCGACAATCTGCCAACGTGTTTTGCGCACGTGGAGGCGTGGAAGAATGCCAAAGAACTGCCTGGTAGGGTTTGCATTCGAGAGCCCCCCCCCCCCCCCCCCCCCTCCCTAGGACGCGTCTATTCGCATGCACCGCCCTGCCTCCCGAAGCCCCCGTTAACCTCGTAAAGTAAAGAACCTGTAGATATGCGTCCCGAGCTTCCAAGACGGCCCATGAAGGCAATTAGGGACACCAAGATGGCCCAATATGCCGAAGACGGCCCAAGATTGCCCACGGCGGCCCACTATGGCATCAAGACGGCCCAAACTGCCACCAAGAAGGCCCAAAACGGCCCGAAGAAGCCAAAATCATTGATCCCCCTTGCTTGTTTGAATGATTGTTGCCGTTTCGGACTTCCGTCAGCTCAAGACGACAGAAGAAGACTCCACGATGGCCCCAAGTGCTCAGGGGGGGGGGGGGGCAAGAGGGTCCCAAGACGGCCCAAGAGGTCACACGATGGCCCAAAAGGCATCCAAGACGGCCCCAAGACGGCTCAAGAGGGCCCCAGGTGGGACCCAAGACGGCCCTAGAATGCCGTTCAGCTGCCTAAGACGGCCCCACGACGGCCCCCCAAGAGGGCCCCAAGACGACCCATGATGACGCAAGGCATCGTATGGGACGGCCGTCCTTGCCGCCCTCCTGCTCATCCCAATCCTCCAACTCAAATTGCTCCTCCTCCACCTCCTCCTCCTCCTCCTCAGCCTCCTCCTCCACTCCTCCTCCTCCTCCTCCTCCTCCTCCTCCTCCTCCTCCTCCTCCTCCGCCTGCTCCTCCTCCTCCTCCTCCTCGTCATCATCATCAGCACCACCACCACCGCCATGATCATCATCATCATCATCATCATCATCATCATCATCATCAACATCATCATCATCATCATCATCATCATCATCATGATCATCGTCATCATCATCATCATCATCAGCATCAGCATCAGCATCAGCATCATCATCAGCATCATCATCATCATCATCGTCATCATCATCATCAGCATCATCATCATCATCAGCATTAGCATCATCATCATCATCATCATCATACTCATCCTCATCATCATCATCATCATCATCATCGGCAGCATCAGCATCATCATCATCAGCAACATCATCATCATCATCATCATCAGCATCATCGTCATCGTCATCATCATCATCATCACCATCATCATCATCAGCATCAGCATCATCATCATCATCATCAGCATCATCATCATCATATTATTATTCAGCATCATCATCAGCATCATCATATCATCACCATCAGCATCATTAAAATAATCAGCATCAACAGCATCATCGACATGGGCATCATCATCAGCAGCATCAATACCATCGTCGTCATCCTCGTCATCAGTATCATCGCCATCAGCATCGTCATCATGAGCATCATCATGATCATCTGCATCATCACCATCAGCAGCAACATCATCATCATCAACAACAACATGATCATCAGTATCAGCATCCTAATCCGCAGCAACATCATCAGCAGCATCATCAGCATATCATCATTATCATCATCATCAGCAGCAGCAGCATAATATTCTGCTTCTTCATCATCATCGGCAGCATCTTCTGTTTCATCATCATCATCGTCATCATCATCATCCTCGTCATCATCATCATCATCATCCTCCTCCTCATCATCATCATCACCGTAATCATCATCAGCATCATCAGCATCAGCAGCAGCATCGTCACCATCGTCAGCATCATCATCCTCGTCATCATCAGCAGCAGCACAATCATCATCATCGTCATCAGCAGCAGAAGCACAATCAGCATCACCATCATCAGCAGCAGCAGTGTCCCCATCAGCACCAGCATACTAACCATCATCAGCATCAACAATATCAGCATCAGTCGCAGCCTCATTATCATCATCATCATCATCATCATCATCATCATCATCATCGTCATCGTCATCGTCATCATCATCATCCCGATCAGCAACACCAACGTCGACATCGTCAGCTTCATTAGCACCACAACAACCAGCATCAACAGCATCAACATCGTCCTGGCCCTCGTGGCCGTCGCTGACACCACAATCATACTCATCATCGTCATCAGCATCATCAGCAGCAGCAGCATCTTCTCACGCAGAAGTAGCAGCATTATCAACAGCATCGTCAACATCATCATCATCATCATCATCATCATCATCATCATCATCATCATCATCATCGTCATCATCATCATCATCAGCATCAATATCATCACGGCTCTCCAAACCCTGGAAGCACCTAACGCGCGACGGCGTCCGGTTGCCACCTCGAACCGTCGCTACCCAGAGTGTGCTGGGCAGGCACGGTGGCGCGGGACTTGCCGCAGGCAGCTGCATTGTCGCGGTCACGAGATTCATGATGAGCATGGTCACCAGCATCCAGACGGCCAGAAAGTACAGCGACAGCCATGGATGCTGCTGCACGAGGGGTGCGTACACGCTGGCGATCGAGTCCTGGTTCGACAACTGCAATAGCGTCATCATGGTCAACGGCACTGAGCGGAAGTTCATTTCGACGATGGCCGCAGTGACAGGATCGCCCGACAGGCGTTCCGAGCGAGTGATCACCTCGACGGCGATGCACGCGAACATGTACATGGCGAAGATCACGAGGACAAACGCGGACATACACGCCCGAGCGGCTTGTATCATACCGTTAACAATTTTCCACAACTCTTGGAAGTGTGTCCACAAACGAAGCGCCTGGGCCAAACGCATCAAACGGAGACCGCGAAATATTGACATCTGCGACGCGAACTCTACACTGGTGTCCCCGTCGACCGCGTGCGCTAGAATCGGCATCAACACCCACCTCTCCAGCACGCCGATACCAATAATGAAGACATCGACGCGGAACCACCAGCTTTGAAGTGAGATTCTGCCGTCGGCAGCAAATCGCAAGACTAGTTCAAGAATGAATACTATCAAAAACGCGTGCCCCAACCATTCGGGACACTCGCTGCCATTCATCTGGAGCTCAAGTTCGAGCTCCAGTCCAAGGGCTAGAGCGTTGACTAGAATAATCAGCCCTACTCCGAATTCGAACCATTTCCTTCGAGCCGATCCCTCGACTCCCACCGACCGCCGCGCCAGTCCACCGGTGTACGAGCCGACCAAAGTCCTGCGCAGGGCGCTCACAGGCCTGTCGTTGTCGACTTCCGTATTATACGACGTCAGCGCGTTTATTATCACATCCTGCAGGTCCAGATCAACCGGCGTTGGAGGAGTATCCGCGATGTTGCCCGCTGCCGTCCGCGCCCCCTTGCCCGCGGCCTCGATCGCCCTGTTGCGAGCTATGTTGCGACGAAAAGACGCACGCATAGTGCGGCGATAACTGCTGGCTTTGGGGTCAGCGGAGCCGCCGAGGTCACCAGCGCTGACCTCGCGTCCCACGGCGCCTCTGCCCGACCCCTCCGCCTGGACCCCCCCGACGCGGCTGCGGCCTGCGCTGGACGGGCTGCGCGACTCCTGCACCTGAAACCCGCCGACGCGGCCTGCGCTGCACGGGCTGCGCCCCCCCACCGCGCCCACCCCCACCGCGTCCAGCACTTCGGCGCGCAAGGCCTCGGGGGGAACGAAGAGCCACTGGCACCGCCAGTCCCCACACCTCTACTGGAGTGCGCTCTGACCAGAATTTCGAGCAGGGTCCAGCCGTGACGGCGGGGCTCTCCAGGACGAGCAGCGGCACCGGCATCCGAAGATCAGGGTACTCAACCCAACCAACGGCCAGAAAAGTTTAGGAAACAGTTCCAGAGCCGCGTGTGGTGTACAATGCACGTGCACACGGCGGTGACCAGCTGACTTACACTGCAAGAGTGCTTTTCTGCTGGGGGGGGCGAAGGCGAAACTGGAGGGGTTTTGATGTGAGCGGGGCTGGGGCTTTGTAGGCCGACGTAGAGCATACCTCCCCCTGAGCCTCCAGCAAGGCCCGATGGCCCTCAGCCTCGGACCGCAGCTCCGCTCGCAGCTCCGCCAGCTGCCCCCGCAGCTCGTCGCGCACCGCGTGCCGGAACTCGCCGGCTCCTCTGAAGGGAGCGGTAGTCTTAAGTCGGGCATGTCCTCATACAGGCGGATTCTGGATGAGAAAATTGTCCAAACATATTCCTAAATAGTCAGAAATAGTCGAAAACTCATCCCCTGATATTTCTCTGGTTATCTTTTGAAAATTTCTTCTGTAGAGGAACATGCCCGACTTCACGGTAGTCGCGAGGGCGAACGTGGTTAGGCTCTGGGCTGCGCTCCCACAGGCCCCCCAGGCAGTCCTGGCTAGGGCGGTCACAGCACGCCCCCACAGGGCTGAACCTAAACGGTGTTTTTCGTTTTCGTCTTGTTTTCGTTTTCCCTCGTTTTGTCTTCAATGCGCCTTTAACGCAAAACGAAATCGAAACGAAAACGGCCCACGAAATCGCCAAAACACCGTTTAGGTCCACCCCTGCGCCCCCACACAAGCAGTCTGGGGCGGTCACAGCACCCTGGCGCGCCTCTGACGGTGCCTCCAGGTCGCTCCGCGCCCCAGGGCTGGGGTGTTGAGACTGCCCCCGACTCCTCGGCGGGCCTGTGGAGGCCATCCGGGGCCACCTGGGGGGGGGGGCGTCTGTGCACAACCCGAAGCCTTACCAGGCGAGTGGATCCATACCAACGACCTCGCAGTCTGGATTCTGGGGCGCGATCCCGCGGATGCGCGGTCGCATGTGTGCGCTCTGCGCGGGGCGTCCGCGAAGAAACGCCTGAATCCACGGGGTCGCGGCCCGAGGACCCGGCCCGCGAGGCCGCGGAGGAAGGCCCTGGAAAAAGATAGCGAACACTCATGCCACATTCACCTGTCATTTTTCTCTTCAATTCTTTGTTCCCTACCCAGGCTCTGCCTAGAAGGGTTCTTACTTGGTAAACTTAAAGGGCCGGGCA